TCCGCCACCAGGACCCCCGTGTCAATGATGACGGTTTTGCATCCTGTCATCAATATAACCAAAAGTCAGCCGATTCTGACAGCTAGTGGCCAGCAGCAGATTGGTGAAAAAGTGCGAGTTTTGTGTGAAAATTTTCACGTCGCCCAGCAATTTTCCAATTAGTTAAATTAGAGTTGATGAATATTTTATTAATAGTTTGGTATAAAAACAATATCTCTTCAATTCCCCGTGCTAGCTCTACACTTCTACTATGTCGTACAACATAGACGAAATGAGTTGGTCAGGTGAGTTTAACTTTTTTCTTCGTACTTCCACATTATTTGAGGCCATGGAATGTTTTGATATTGGAGAGCTTTTTTTTTGTTCTAGATGTTCGGAATCTGTTCCGAAAGTGGCGTGATGATAACGAGCGGAAGAGCGAGGATGTAATGCAGCTGTGGGATGCAATCCTGTGTGACAAGCAAAACAAACTGGGTAATGAACGTCATCTAGTTCTGGAGCAGGTGATGATCGCGGCACTCGATTGTAACCGGATAGAAACGGCTGAGGATTGCATTCGGATACTGACGGCGGAGTTTCCTGGCAGCTTGAGGATTCAAAAGTACAAGTCAATGCTGCTTGAGGCGCTGGAACGCTACGACGATGCATTGGACGTGCTGGAACAGATTATCAAGAAGGATGAAACGAACGCTGCACCCCGGAAGCGGAAGGTGGCCATTTACAAAGCGCAAGGCAGAACGGCCGAGGCTATTCGGGAATTATGCGACTACATGAAACGATTCATGTCTGATCAAGAAGGATGGCACGAATTGTGCGGTTTGTATCTGGCCGAAGGAGAGTACGCCAAAGCTGCCTTCTGTATGGAGGAAGTTCTGCTGCACAACCCGCATAGCCACTTGATTCATCAGAGGCTAGCAGATATTCGCTATACGATGGTAGGTATATCGGCTGTTGACTGGTGATGCACTAGTTTAAACGTTCCTTTGCTTCGTAGGGTGGTCTCGATAATATTGAAATCGCAAAGTCCTACTACTGTCAAGCTGTTAAGCTGAACCAGAACAATCTGCGGGCGCTTTATGGATTGTTTTTGGTAAGTATACTTGACATAGTGTGTTCCTAATTATCAATGAGACAACCAATATTTCCATTCCACAGTGCTGCGGCCACCTAGCGAATTCAAAGACCCCTCTTAATAAACGAAAAGAAGCCCAAAAACTGGCGCAATGGACTATTGCTCAGATACAGGAAAAGACCGTTAAATCACCAGCTGCCCTGCCCAAGGCTGGTAAATCATCCGAAAAGCAACCCAAAGATGAAGTAGCCGCCCTCGAGCAAGCTTTCGGTGGATTGGACATGGCCAAAGCGAATTGACAAACTGACCATCGTCAGCCAAAGGTTCGCTTTGGAGCCACCATTATCAACACTTCTTCTATCGTACCGTTTTATTTCACGACATCTAGTAGTTCACCTTTCATATTACGACCCTTGAGATACTTTCTGTTATAAATCTCCACATTGTACAATACAGCGGATTCCCGCACAAGTATGTGCCAGAGAAAAAGGGATTTTAATTGCAATAAATATTGCACCGACGGAAGAGATACAGGTATTGCATTTCTTTTACTGTATTTGTGCAAGCCTAGATTAAACCACGTTCCATTTTATGGATTGCATTCTAGATGCATTATAATAATAAATTGAATCATTCGTAAGAACCAGCGAAGATGTTGTAGTAGCGAAGACGCAAATCCGGTATTTAAAGGAAAAGGATAAAAACAACACATGAATATAATGATAGCCATTTGGATGTTTGTTGTGCAAAATACGCGTACACGGTAAATATAAAACGTTAATTTAAACATTTCAGACGTAAAAGGCAAACTATATATTTGGAATAAGTTAGCGGGTAGTGATAGAGGTAGAGCGGGAGATGTAGGATCAAAGTTCAATAAAGTTTTTTTTTTCCAAATCAATTAGGTACCAACACCAATTCGCTTTCGTTTGCTTCGAAATTCCAGCAGCCTACAACCCTAATAAACGGGTACCATACACTAATGATATCATAGATGGTACGACCGTACCACATAAAGTTGGGATTATATCCCGAATTGGTGGTTAGGCGCTTCTTATGGTTATTGTTTATGCGGGAAGTCACTTTTGGCATTAAAGACATTCGGACAAGCTTCACGGCAGAGGCGATACTATTCGCTTAATGTTTCCTATATTCTAACTAGGTACATATTATACTTGTGGACAGGGAATACAATTTTCACCTCATCGATGACAAACACCTTTTGACTATTATAATTGACCACTTTGTGAGTTACATAAATGGACCATTAGGTTGAATTAAAAAGAAAGAAAGATTATGCCACAGACAAACAGACATAACACATTGAATATTTCTTACTGTAAAACATCGTCGCTAAAACATTACCGCCATTTGTTGAGTACACTGTGGTGGGTAGTACGCTGAACAGATGGTGGTAGTGTGCAACCGTCAAACGCAAGGGAATTGACTATGCGCGCCACAGGTGGCGGTACTACCAACTATGATACTTTTAAATTGACCTTTAAATGCTTGTTCGATGAACAACTTGCGAGAGTTATGTCTGTTTGTCTGTGATTATGCTTTAAACTGTTCTAGAAATTTTTAACCTCAATTAATGGAGATCTGAATCCATTTTTTTAGATTTTGAATTAAGTACCTTCAAGTCTTTTTTACCGTGTAAAAAACCGCATTATTTCAAAATTCGTCGTAACAAAAACTGAACAGTATGCATGAAAATATTGTCTGTACTTCTAAAGGGCGATCACCTAGAAAATTTTCGTTCATGATAAAGTTCTTCTGAAGGTAAAGAACTTCCGGATGCTCCGTTCAAATCATTTCGGACGTTTCTCAGAACGCAGCGGTAGTGTGAACACTAAGTTACATAGTTTTACTGATGTTTCACGACAAATTCAACGCTTCGACTTACGTGAACGGAGTTAGGCGCTCATTGGAATTAGGGTACATCACGGCGCAGTGCTGCAAAATCTCGACAATACACGGTGATATTGACAATTCTGCTTCGGTCACTCATTTGAGCTAACAGTCATAGTCAAGGCAAACCATGTCAATTGTCAATGACAATGCTGTCAGTGAAGAACATGTGTAGATTTTTATATTAACTAAACTGCCGGTCATCGCAAGTCAGTCCCATCTACATTTTTATCAATTTTGAGTTAGCATCATTATTCAGTTCATCTTTCTTTGTTTTTTAATATGTGCTTTTGAAAAAAGGTGTTTTGTTCAAGAAAAATGAATAACAATATCAAGTCAAATTGTTCAAGTTTTTCTCCAACCAGAAGCCACTATCTTGAATTTCAAAACGGCCTCAGACATCGATTTCTAGACCTTACACGTCAACCTGACTCCAAAAATACGCATATTGAGGAAGCCGAAGAAACAAAAAAAATTGATTGGAACAAATTTAGAAGTAATAAATTACCGAAAATCGCAACTATCGCTTATAACTCTAAGGTTTTCCATCCAGTCGACTGCAGCGGAGGTTACGACTCTTGTCACTTAAAATCGTCACTTCAGTACGACTTTTGTCACCGAAATACGAGTGTGAGAATAAGGTGAGAGTTCACCGGGTTCATCCCAAGTGACTTTTCTCACCTCACTCGCCAGCTGGAATCGGGTGACACGAGTGACTCGAGTCACCTCACTTCATTCGCCACGCAGAATAACCCTGGCATACATGCGGGGCTTATTGTAAGTGAAAGTAACCTCGGAATGGGCGTGACTCTCCAGACATTCTGAAATGCGTTGCTGGATCTGCAATAGAGCCTGACCATAAATGCGACATTGTAGAGAGAGTTTTTCTATAATAACACTGCCGGCCAGTGGGGGTTAGAGGGAATACATACACCCACACACAGTCCAATTTTCGATGTAAACTATAACTTATTTTTCGGACAATTTCATTCGGCGTATGCTATTATAGTTAGGCCTATTTTGCGCGGCGTGTGAGGTGAGGTAACTCGCTCTCACTAGTGAAGTGACAACCTCGGGTGAGGTGACTCTCCGTGCAAATCAAATGGATGGTCATCTCATCCGAGGTGACAATTGTCACTTCACTGTCACCTTACCTCACACGCCGCGCAGAATAGGCCTAAGTAGAACTCTTGTTTTGAGTCTATTCGACCCCGGTCACTTATTGACTGTGAAAACATAATTGGTAATTTCTACCAAATTTTACTGATTGAATAGATTATTAAACGCGATTAAATAAAACTCTTTTAAATACGGGGGCATGAAGAAAAATGAGCGCCAAAACACATAGTTACCGTAGCGTACGCAAATGGAATCGATTTCTTGGCCTTTTTCCATTAAGAAAACATATATTTCATAGAACGTAGTTGGTATTTCAGCGGCAGCCAATTTTAATCCTTTTTGTTCCCAAAATACCCATTATTATTGGTTGGTTTCGCTGCTACAATTTTCAGTAGTGGGTACATATTTCAGAGTTGACATTCGAAGCATACAAATCACTCAGGAATTGGTTGCCTGGTGACTAGGATACCGACTGAGCTAGTTCTTCACTTTCCTTCGGAATGTTCATTTGTGCTTCGGTATGCGCACTTCGAGTATGGCCTACGAAAAAAAAAAACATGCGCCGCATAACTAAAGTGCCTCACTTCATTACCTACAGTCTCGTATACTTACGGGCCAGATAATCCTGCCGTGCGAAACCCACATTACAAATGATGCATACGTAAGGCTTTTCTCCCGTATGTTCTCGAATGTGAGTTTGAAGAGACCTTGCCCATTTAAAACTTTTTCCACAGTCAGAACATTGATATTGTTTATCAGATGAGTGCATTTGCCTGTGACGGTTCCGATCGCCCGCCCGGGCGAATGATTTCTTGCATACCTGTATGTTCATAAAATTAGATCTTAACCAATTAAATGCTTGCATATTTGACTTGGTTCAAGAAAGAGACCAATGGGTCTAACCCATATCACTTACCTCACAACTGTATGGTTTTCGCTTCATATGTACGGCGTTGACATGGTTTTGCCAGTGTACAATATTCCTAAATGCATTGCCGCATTCTTTGCAGACATATTGCCGGTCCTCGCTGTGGATCTTCAAGTGGTTTCCCAACGCTGACGGTATTCTGAACGATTTGTCACACAAATCACAACTGTAAGGTTTGTTCTCTATTGGTCTTTTGCGACGCTTTTTGGAAGGGCTATCTTCTTCTTTGGTGGGTGCCTTTTCGACAATTTCATTTTCTTGAAGTGATTGCTGAATCTCTCGATTCATTGTTTCTGTTTTGTTGTGAATTAACAAACGATGGCGCCTCAAATCTCGGATTCTAAGGTATGATTCCTGACAAAATTCACAATGGTGCGTTTTTTCGGCATTGTGAAGCTTCATGTGTCCTTTGAGTGTGGTTTGATGGACAAATTTCATGCCACATTGCTCGCACTGATATGCTCTCACGTTCAAGTGGACATCGAGGTGCGCTTTTAGACTCCCTTTGCTTGAGAACGTTTTATTACAAATATCACATGCATACTTTTCTGCATCTCCGTTGTGGATTTTAAGATGCGTTCTAAGGCTGCTGTCGTAGATGAAACTTTTGCCACAAATGTTACACAGGTAGGACCGTTTTCCGGTGTGAGTTAATTCGTGACTTTTCCAATGGTTTCGGTGAACAAATAATTTGTCGCAAAGGCTACATTTGAATTCTTTTCTGGGCTTTTCAGATCGGTTGTGTGATTCCAAGTGGTACTGGTATTTGGATGTTTTGGTAAATTTCATTCCACACGTAGCACATTCATGATCACCGAAAGCATGAACATAATCCTTGTGTTTTCGCAGATACCGTTTTGTCTTGAAGGACTTGCCGCATTCATTACATGAAAACTCTTTTACGTCACTATGTAAATATAGATGATTATTCTTGATGGCAAGGGTTCGGAAAATTTTATCGCATACTGGACATTTTAGCTTCTCGTCGTGTTTTCCGGTATTTTTCCCTTCGAACGCTGCTTCCTCTTCCGATGAAGACTCTTCATTCTCTGGATTATATTCCGACGACGATTCTTTATTATCAGCTTTATCACCCAAATGATCCTCATCATCTGGAGGTTCCAAATTAGTCGAATCATTCAAAAGTTCCGAATCTCCAACGAAACAGACTAGTACTTCCGATATGCATTTCGGTTCATCTTTGGGAAGCTTGATAAAGTTCTGTTGGAGATGCTCTTGAGCCTTTTCACATTGCTTTCGGAAAGCATCTATAGTCTCCAACCGTTCCATGCAAATGCTGCATATATTTTCTGGATATCTATCATCTTTCTGAATCTGGAATATTACAATAGGAAACAATAATTAGAATAAAACAAGATGACCCCTACCAATCGCATACCTTGAGCTTCAGCAGCAACAGCTGATCGAAAACATCAAATTTACCACTGTCTTTGGCGTCTTCGAAAATTGGAGTCAAGTGTTGGTTAGAATCGGTTTTCAGACATGTACGACAAGTAAATGCAAGCGATAACTTATCTACGCTAACTTTTTCAAAGTTATCGTCTTTCTTCATGTTATTTGACTTTCAATTAAAACATTACAAACTTCCTTGCACCACGGAAAATACTAGAATCTGCTGCATTGAACAAGCAAGCTGATGTTACGAGATGGACCAGCCATGATCTTAGCCTGTCTGAAAAGACAAATCCAAAGAAAAAAAAAAAAAAGCTGATGTTGTTGTTTAGGCTCTGAACCATTTGGTGGATTATTTTAACTTTTGGTTAAAATTTGACAGATGGAAAGTTATCGATTAACCCTGCTATCCGAGCGCAATGACGTATTAAATTGACAAATCGACAGTGAGCATGCATAAGGGCCTATACGCGATGATCGATTCTCTTCGTCGATTTTCTCTTTTGTTAATAACTCGCTAGATTTAATGTTTCTCGGTGCGTTTGCTGTTGCTTTTGATAGCCAATACAACCTGTTACTACTCTGCATTGAACAAATTCTAGAAAATTGTTTCGCTTAGCTGTAGCAATGCAAAGAGAAAATCGATGAAGAGAATCGATCATCGCGTATTCGTCCTTATGAATGCTCACTGTCGAAATCCATGTTTCAATCGACCACCGTGACGCTGCAATCGCAGCGGTGATAACAGTGCTAACATTTGAAAACGGCACAAAAGCCATTTGTAAACAAATGGTTTGTGGGCCCTTTACTCACTACTTGAAGTACACCTACGCGACACAACAGCAACATCGGGTAGGGGAAATTTTCCCCTTCCTGACGATGCTGTTGGTTTGCGTGGGCGTTCTTCGGGTAGCGAGTAAAGGGCCCACAAACCATTTGTTTACAAATGGCTTTTGCGCCGTTTTCAAATGTTAGCAGTCCGAAACTATGTGTCAAACTGAATACATTTTTGAAATTTCAACCAAAACATTATTATTTTCTATTTATTCTAGCGAGTTTCTGTGGAAGTCAAAACATGATCCGAGCAAAAAAGTAGTACTCGTAATAATGGTATATAATGCTGAATTTTATCGTGCTTTGTTTCGAAAATATCTTCCAAATAAACAAACATCATACAAATTACCCGATTCGTTCACTGACTAAATCTATTGCCACTTAAAAATTAATTTCAGCCGGTGTATTAATCAGCAGATTAAATCGTTTTTCGTCTGGTGCTACACCGAGCAATCGGCCTATTTCATAGTTTTTCGTCGATTCCCACATAAACGCGAACCATAAATTGACCTTACCTAAAATGGTTAAAAATTGTTTATAATCCCTGCTAAACTTTAACTGAAATGGTTATGGAACTTTACATGAACGTTTAATGATAAAGTTTCAACCTTATGTATTATGGTTTTTTGGAACTGGACCTTACAAATAATGGGTTGTTAAGAACCATTACCGTTCCAAATTCTTGTTTTCTCCATACATTTTCGGAAAGAGAATTATATTAGAACCTTTTAACTTATGTTTTGAGAACTTTAATGGTAATGGTTATGGTAGTCAGTAAGGTCCACGAATGGTTTTGTAACATCGATCAACTTTATGTGGAATATATCGCGAATTGGTTGCCGGTAATTTACTCATTACCAATTCACGATATATTCTACGTAAAGGGTGATACGGTCAAAATTTGGTCAAGGGAACACGCGTGTAAATCGGTGAAATCGTTTATTTAAAAAATCAAATTAAATTTCTTTTTCAAGTTCAATTAGTATAAAATTCAGGAAAAATATTCAGTTAGGCTTCCGCTTTTCCAAATCCGAATTGCCGGGCCTTACGCTTGACCCCTGCCATCAGATTTTGTACAGCCACCTTGTCCACCTTCTTCGCCGCAGAAAGCCAGTTTGCCTTGAACTGCTGCTCGCCCTTAGCAGTTTTTTTGGTCTTCTTTAGGTTCCGCTTGACAATAGCCCAGTATTTCTCAATTGGGCGGAGCTCTGGCGTGTTGGGAGGGTTCTTGTCCTTGGGAACCACCTGCACGTTGTTGGCGGCGTACCACTCCATGGCCTTTTTTACCGTAATGGCAAGATGCCAAATCCGGCCAAAACAGTACGGAACAACCGTGTTTCTTCAGGAAAGGCAGCAGACGTTTATTCAAACACTCTTTCACGTAAATTTCTTGGTTGACAGTCCCTGAAGCTATGAAAATGCTGCTTTTCAAGCCACAGGTACAGATGGCTTGCCAAACCAGATATTTCTTTGCGAACTTTGACAGTTTCATGTGCTTGAAAACATCTGCTACCTTTCCCCTTCCTTTTGCCGTATAAAACTCCTGTCCCGGAAGCTGCTTGTAGTCGGCTTTGACGTAGGTTTCGTCGTCCATTACCACGTAGTCAAACTTCGTCAGCATCGTCGTGTACAGCCTCCGGGCTCGCGCTTTGGCCGTCGTATTTTGTTTATCATCGCGATTTGGAGTCACTACCTTCTTGTAAGTCGATAGTCCGGCTCGTTTTTTGGCTCGATGCACGGTTGTAGACGATACACCCAGCTTATTTGCGGCATCTCGAAGAGAGAGGTTAGGGTTTCGCTTGAAACTACCGGCAACTCTCTTTGTCGTCTCAGCGGCTTCCGGTTTTCGATTTCCCCCCGATCCAGACTTCCTGGCTGTCGACAAACGTTCCCCAAACACTTTAATTACATTTGTAACGGTTGATTTGGCAACTTTTAGCGATTTTGCCAACTTTGCGTGCGAGTAGCTCGGATTTTCGCGATGCGCGAGCAAAATTTTGATACGCTGCTCTTCTTGCTTGGACGGCATTTTGACAACTGAAGAGTGAATTCCAAAATCAAAATAGGAGCAACATTCTACACACACACACCTTCAAAATGAGGGGTGTTCAGGTTTTTTAAATGCAAAATTGAAAGAAATACGTCAAGTTGATATTGACCAAATTTTGACCGTATAACCCTTTATGCAACAAACAGTTCTATTTATTCACTTTAATACTGAGAAATCGAAACGACGAACGTACACTTTTCACTGGTTTCTCTGTGCTGTTACTTAAGGCAAACGGCATCTCCATAGAAATCGGGTGACTTAAGTAACATCGAAAACTATTTTGATCGGAAGGTGATTATGTCAAAAAGCAATTTGACTGGTAAATAATTTTAAAATGGGATGTGATCCTATATTCAGACAGTATATTAGTGTAATAGCAGGAGCATCGATTGACACTGATAGCTCGACTTTGTTTACCTTTGTTACATTCGACGTAATGAAAATTTGCTCTTAAATTATGTCACGCAAATTTGGCCCATTTTCAACCACCCTTCCCCCTTTGTCACATTTTTTATATGGACCTTAATTGTTTTTTGTAAGGCTCGCCACACTTTCCAAAACCCCCCTCCCCCCTAAAAGTGTGACATAATTAATGGACGATCGTACAAATGCAAATACTGGGTGTCCAGCAAACAGTTTATGTTAGCTGAATTTTTCGGAAAAAATATCGTTTGCTGTTTTTCAGTAAAGCTTTTTTGTTGCTGATCATGATCCAGCAAACCGTTTTGCTGATAATGAAAACTAAAATTTGGCCGGTGGAAGCATAACTGTTCCATGTGACATTTTGACTTTTTTGAGTTTATGATGCTTAACGTTATAAATCAATACATATTTTTAAAATATTATATTAAAACATGCTGTTTATTCTAGAAAAATTAAAAAAAAAAGTGAAGTCGTTTTGTCCCATTGCAAAAATGGACGCCTATCTGTCCCACTGCTCCAATTTTTAATATTTATAAGAAATTCTTCAAAAGTTATAGCAACAATCAATACGAAACTATCGATTTGAAATTGGCTCACTACTTGACTAGCCTATTGGTCCCAAGTAAATGATTAACGTATCCCATTCTAGTCGGAATTCTAGTACTACACTATATTTGTTTTGATTCTCTATGAAAGTTTGACAGATAAAATGAGGGGTTCGTTGATTTTCCCATGTTTCGAGGGGTGCATCGATTAGCTTGGGACCGAAGATAGTACCAGAGCTGAGCCAAAAAGTTGAGCAAGTTTCTTCGGGACGTTCTGGTCTTAGAGTTACCTCTATGGTTATAGCATAGAGGTAACTCTAAGACCACTGGGTCCCGAGAAAATCATTATTATTTTTGGCTCACTCAGTACCAGAACAACGGTCCCAAGCAGTCCCAAGCTATTTCACTCACCCCTGCATGTTCTGCATGAATCCACACACCCCTGATGTTATCTGTCAAACTTTCATAGCAAATCAAAACAAACATAGTGTAGTAATAGAATTTCAACTAGAATAGGGTACGTTAATCGTTTGCTTGGGACCAATAGGCTACTAAAGTGGTGAGCCAATTTAAAATCGTTAGTTTCGTATTGATTGTTGGTTATAGTCTGTTATCCAAATAATACATCGTAAACATATAACAAGATCCAAACGATTACACAAATAGTAAAATTAATCTTTGAATTATTTGGATGATACCTCGTAAGCACAGTAACACTTTTTTTTTTTAAATTAAGGCTATCATTCTCAATTCTGTTGCTATTTACAAACAAATAAATTATATAATGTACTAATCAACTTGCAACGCCTTGCCCTATTTGTACCTTTTCGTGACACATATGATAATTTGGTATTGAAAAACTATAGAGTAAAATTATGAGATTTTTTTTAATAAAAGAAATGCATACAACGGTAAATAACTATCATTCCGATGCATGTTACTTGGTCGGAAGACCAACTAAAAATGATGTTTCGTCTTCTCCAATAACAGGTACGACAACTGCCAACAGAGAGGCCTTCCTATCTACTTCAATTCAACGAGGAGACCTTTACCAGAGTACGTTAGCTTCAGTAGAGAACGTATCGTTGGCGATCAGCTGGAGTTAATTCTTGGAAAACAGTTTGAAGTATTTAAAGTCCTCACTGTTGATGTTGCTTGCGTATCCTAGCTCATATCGTCCTTTTTGAGAAAAACAATTTTCTCATGATGTCCACGTACGGGCGAGGCTTGCATAAGTTCAACGTGTACTGTACGTATAACGTGTACATGCAGACACTGGAAATGATCGTGCGTATGCGCCAACAGGAG